CTTGCCGAGCCTTGGAGAACTTGCGGCACGGCGGGTCAGATGGTTACAGGGTATGATAAAGTACCCCGCAGCCAAAAGCGCAAACTATTGTTGTACTTTGTGGTCATATACTAAACGAAGAACCAGCTCTCACTGACACGGGTCAAATACGAAGTGCAGCAAATCCGTGGCTTCTTCAGTTTCGGTGCGACCTAGAGCTTTGCCGAGGTATTAGCGGCGCGGAGAGCTTCTTTGAGGTCTGGCGTGATACCGATGATTCCTGTGTAGAGTTATTGAATCGCGACTCGGATGCAGCTCACGGGTTCGTAGCAGTAGATCCTAGTATTCTTAGGGCAGCGGTGTTTTCACATTCGCTTTTGTGCTATTGTTCGTCAACAAGCGACACGAGCTGAACAACATAAATGTTTTATTTTAGATACTACAGGTACTCCATGCGCCCTTGGGTTCCCTGCGCTTCAGCAATTTATTGCGAGCCGGACGTCTCGTCATGGGATCCGATCTATCTGTCCGAATTGCTGCTCGGTATTCAGAGATGTGGCTAGTGCTCGTCACCGCCTTAAGCGAGCCTATGCCCAGGGGAGGTGTCAATTGGGGAGGGCGCATATGAATTGGGACTTGCAACAGCCAGGTGACCTACAATGCGGCCTATGCTCCGTAGCCTCTTTCGGTTCCACGAGCGAGCTCTTCGCGCGCATGCGTTCAGTTCACCTACCACTTCCTTTGCCTGCCCTCCTGCTCCCACGAGGTGCACATCCACGTGCATCTACCAGCCTGGTGGATGCCGGGCGTCCTCGGCGCGAAGGAGCCGGAGGGCGGCCACCGCCGCGACGTCCGGCCTCGGCGTCAACCCGACGACGACCACTCGAAGAAGGAGCAAGGCTTGAAGGAGGTCAAGGCGCTGAAACACGGCGAGGAAACCATGTTCGGCCTACTCTCGAGGCAAACGTTGAGGAGCGCTCGACAGCTGCGCGAGCTTCAGGCTGTCACTTTCGACGTCTGGTTGTTAGCGGAGAATGGCTCCATCGTGCTGGCGATGCAAGAACAGACGAGCAATTGCGCCGACCACGTGAAAGGCAATAATGACCACGACCTCGGGCCACCTTGCATATACGCACTCGGTGGGGCTCTGAAGGCCTACGCCGACGTCGAGCGCGGAACGCCAGGGTTCTCGATGCCCGAAGAGCTGAGCAAGGAGCTGAACACGGCGTGCGCGGAGTACGACAGGTGGTCGATCGCGCAGAAGTGCGACTGGGTGCTGCATTGTCGAGTGGAGAAAGTATTCCAGCGAGGCATGAAAAAGGTGACTGTCGCGTTTCGCGACCCGCTGTTCCGCATCATGATGAACAAAGCTTTCGACTGCACGGAGGGCGCGGTGAAGAAAGTCGGCAAAGCACATCCGACCTTCCTCGAGCGGGAGCTGCAGGAGTGGCTCGAGGGCATGGAGGGCTAGTAGCGCCTTCTGCTTCTTCCTCTTCGGCAGCGGCGCCTCTTGCCTCTCTGCCGCGTTCTGGCTCTCATGGGCCGAGGTCTGTGGGATCCTTGAGAGCGCCCGATGGAGGTTCGGCGGAGGATTTGGCTTGCAGTGATATCGTCTACTGGGATGGTACTTGTCATCATATTCCTGCTTATGAGCGGCGCCACGCTGAAGATGCCACTCGCAACGTTTGTCGTGAGCGAAGTAATACACCATATCTTCCACTTCTGACGGCTCAGGCGAGGCGAGCTGTTTTCAGCACTAGGCCTCCGAGTTCGGAGGTCCCTTTTCCTGCGCGCGCAGTTCCAGGCGCGCCTTCTCGTTTGCGTATGATTACAGACTTTCTTGCATCACGTAATGTCATGCCTGGCGCGCCTATATATAGAAGCATGTTGTCGAGTGGGCGTACATACATTCTTGCACGCGATTGGTACAACTCTCAGCCGATTGAGCCGTAGTTCTCGGGATAAAGTTCCGCGGGGTTGAATGAATGCTTCCCGCAGTCATCTCATGCGTCGACGTCTGTGGGGACCTGCCCTGGGACCGACACGGTCCCGCAGGGCACAGGTCCCGTCACCTCGAGGCCCAGCTTTCGAGGCAGTCCGCTAGAGCAGGCTCGCCGCACCAGATTTCAGCTTCTATTATGTAGCATGTCCGTTCGCACTGCACGGCCAAGTCAGACCAGGATGGCGCTCATGGTGATTCAAGGGCAAGGTCCTCCTCCTCCTCGTCCTCGTTCTCCTCTCCTCCTCCTTCTTCTCCTCCTCCTCCTCCTCCTCGTCCTCCTCCTCCTCCTCCTCCTCTTCCCCCCCTCCTCCTGCTCCTCCTCCTCCTCCTCCTCCTCCTCCCCCTCCTCCTCCCCCTTCCTCTTCAGGGCTCGTGCGCCCTGCTCTCTTTTCGGCGTGTCGGGCTCCTGGGCTTCCGCCCCCGCCGCGGGTGTCGTCTCTCCCGCGGTCCCCCCCCGGGGGCTCCCGAGCCGGGGCCTCGGGGGCCTTTCGGGCTCCTGGCCCTCCCGCCTGGGAGCAGGTCGCCTGTTGCTCCTCCTCTCCCCATTTCCGCTCTCCTGATGATCACGGCGCTGCGTGCGGTGTCCTCCCTACTCCTGCTGATGCTGACTAGTATGATGACGGTGACGATGATGGTGATGCTGGTAATGCTGATGATGCTGATGGTGATGCCGATGCTGCTGCTGATGATGCTGCCGATGCTGCTACTGATGATGATGACGATGATACAGCTGATGACGATGATGATGACGATAATGACGACGAAGCCGATGATTATGCGATTCAGCTGCTGCTGCTGCTGATGATGATGATGATGATGATGATGATGGATGAGGCTGGCGATGATGATGGTGATGCTGATGATGGGGCCGATGATGGTGATGATGCTGATGATGGAGCTGATATTGGCGAAACTGTCGATGCTTATGATGCTGCTGCGCATGATGATGATACTGATGATGACGATGATGACGACGATGGTACTGATGCTGATTATGATGATTATGATGATGATGATGATGATGATGATGATGATGATGTTGACGACGATGCTGATGGTGATGCTGATGATGATACTCATGATGCTGATGATGCTGCAGGTTCAGATGATGAGTATGGCGATGGGGATGGTAATGCCGATGATGATAATGACGATGCTGATGCTACCGAAGATGATGATGATGATGATGATGGTGATGATGATGATGATGATGATGATGATGATGTTGCTGCTGATGATGATGATGTTGTTGATGACGATGATGATGCTGATGCTGATGATGGCAATTATGATACCGATGATGATGATGCTGATGATGATGATGATGATGATGATGATGATGATGATGATGATGATGATACTGACGACTATGATGCTCATGATGATGGTGATGATGCTGCTGCTGATGGTGTTGGTGTTGCTGCTGATGGTGGTACGGAGGATGCTGATGCTGGCGGGGATGATGATAATGATGCTGATGCTGACGATTCTGATGATGCTGATGTTGATGCTGATGATGATTGTGATGACGACGATGCCGACGATGATGATGATGCTGATGAGGAGGAGGAGGCGTAGGCGGAGGAGGAGGAAGGAGGAGGAGGAGTGGGAGGCAGAAGAAGATGATGATGATGATGCTGATGATGCTGATGATGATGATGATGATGATGATGTTGATGATGATGCTGCTGATGATGATGCTGCTTATGATGATGATGATGACGATGATGCTGCTTATGATGATGACGGTGAGGATTCTCATGCTGCTGATGCTGTTGATGATGATGATGCTGATGATGATGATGATGATGCTGTTGATACTGATGATGTTGACGACGATGCTGATGGTGATGCTGATGATCATGATGGTGATGAGGATGATGCTGATGATTCCGATGACGATTACCATGATAATGATGATACTGATAATTATGATGACGCTGATGCTGATGCTCATGCTGATTCGGATGCTGACGCTGATGCTTCTGCTACTAGTTATGTCGCTGCTGCTGATGATGATGCTGCTGCTTATCATTCTCAGTATTATTTTTATTATTCGTATTCGTGTTCTAATTGTTCATACTAGTAGGATTGGTATTATTGTTGTTATTGTTTTTATTTCTATATAGTAGCATTGTTATTCTTATTAATCATATTCTCCAAATAGACTTGCCCTATAGGAATTCTAACTCGAACCTTACTAATTGGGCCGTTGCCCCCCTAATTCCTACGCCCTCCTACTTTCCAACGACATCCCCCCCGCCAGTTCCAATGGCGAGTCCTATGGAATCCTATGGGTTCCTAGGAGTCGCATGTATTCCTATGCGTGCTTGTTCTTGATTGCTTGCTGGCACTTGCTTGCGTGCTGGCATGCTCTTGCGTGCTTGCTCTTGCGTGCTTGCTCTTGCACACTCACTTGCACTTGATTGCTGCTCTTGCGTGCTTGCCCTCGATTGCTTGCTCTTGTTTGCCCTTGCTTGCTTGCACTTGATCGCTGACTCTTGCTTGCTTGAGCTTGCTTGCTTGCGCTTGCTTGCTTGCGCTTGCTTGATTTTGCTCCTCTCGTCCTCTTCGCGTCCTGCTCCCGTCCTCCTTTCGTCCTCCTCCCATGCTCCTCTCGTCCTTCCCCTGTCCTCATATCTATTTGGAGCCAACGCTGGCCGATAATATTCTTACTACCAATTGTTTTGCTATTACTACTGAGGTATCATTATTCGTGCTGTTGTATTACTATTCGTATTATTTTCATTAGTATGATTATATCATTATTATTGTTAATCTTTTCATTTTTATTAGCATTAAGATACTTCAAAATATTATTACGATGTTGGCGATGCTTCTGCTGATGATGGTGGTGGTGGTGGCGAGGAGGAAGAGGAGAAGGAGGAGGAGGCATATTCGGAGGAGGGTGTGGAGGAGGAGGAGGGGGAGGAGGCGGAGGGTGGGGAGGAGGATGGGTTGGATGATCGGGAGGGCGTCGGCGACGATGCCGACCGACGACAGCGATCATGATGGGGAGGACGATGATGGGGAGGCATCGCTCGACTGCAGCGCCGCCGTGCTGGACGCTGCGGAGAGGTTCGGGCAGCTGATGCGATTGGTACCCGCCGTCCAGGCGATCATTTCTCTTTTCCGCAAAGAGGGTGGGGTGGGGTAGGTGGAGGGGAATGAGTCAGGAAGGGGAAGGGCGAGGAGGCAGGAGGTGGTGAGGATGAGCAGGAGGAACAGCAGGAGGACGAGGAGGGAGGAATGACGAAAAGGGAGTAGGGAGGAGGGAGGAGGGAGGAGGGGGGAGGGAAGAGGGGGAGGAGGAGGAGGAGGAGGAGGAGGAGGAGAAGGGAGGAGGGAGGAGGGAGGAGGGAGGAGAGGAGGAGGAGAAGGAGCAGGAGGTGGAGGAGTGGAGGAGGAGGAGGACCAGTGTACACCCAAGAGTCACCAACGATGTTGGAAGAAGCCCTCCCACCAAGCTCCCCCTTCATAGGCCCCCACAACGGTTCATTTCCACAGAGGGACCTGCCTCGTTGGAAGACAACCGTTTGAAGATCCTGAAGCATGCCAAAGCATTGTTCTCGGTAGCCCAACGCCACGGATAAACCTGACTGCTGCGTCCTGAGGATCCTGAATCGTGCCAGAACGCCATCCCTGGGACTTCAGCACCGCGAGTCATCCGAACTGTTGCGCCATCATAACCATGAACCTTCCAACATACCATGTCTGGTACGTCGATCAAGGGAGCCCGTGAAACTCTTGCATTTTGTTAGAAAGAAAGTGCGCGGCGCTAAGGCGAGAGCCACATATAGAAATGGAATTGCCCTCACTCAGTGAATCTCTTGCGCATTTTCAGAGCGAGTGAGTGGAGCCACATTTTGAAAAAAACGGCCCGCCCTCCATCCGTGAAGCGCTGGCAAATTTTGAAGACGACTGTGCGCAGCGCTAAGGCGAGAACCACATTTTGAAAACGACCCGCACTCAATCCGTGAAGCTCTTGGATTTTGTCAAACGAATGTGCGCGGTGCTGAGGCGAGAGTCACATTTGAAAAACAACCCGCCCTCAACCCGTGAAGCTCTTACATGTTTGAAAAGAATGTGCGCGGCGCTAAGGCGAGAGCCACACTTTGAAAACGACCCGCCCTCAATCCGTGAAGCAATTGCAATTTTCGAAAACGAATGTGCGCGGCGCTGAGGCGATAGCCACATTTTGAAAACGACCCGCGCTCTATTTGTGAGACTGTTGTCATTGTTCATGCTTCAGGGTCATAAGTGGTGATGAAACCCCAGGCGAAACGCCCGGCCCACCCTAAAAACTGGATTCGGGGTGCGACAGGGAGGAGTTATTTATAAGGAGGAGGAAAGGAGGAGGAGGAGGAGGAGGAGGAGGAGGAGGAGGAGGTGGAGGCGGTGGAGGAGGAGGGGGAGGGAGGAGGAGGATGAGGAGGAGGAGGAGGACGAGGAGGAAGAGGAGGAGGAGGAATTCTAAGGATAATTTTACTCTGCGCGGTGTCCCTGCTCTAGGCAGGCCGCTTTACGACAACCCCGCGAACATGTGGAAGCCGAAGGCGAGGAAACCAATGATGAACTACACCCGCGCGAATGCCGCCCGCTGTGCGTTATAAAACTGCCTCTCCGGCAATACTCCCAAGGTATGTGGCGAGCTCACGAGAGGAGGAGGAGGATGAGGAGCAGCAGGATTGTGAGGATGGGTGGGATGAATGGAAAGGAGGAGGTTGAGGAGGAGGAGGAGGAGGGGGAGGAGGAGGAGGCTGAGGAGGAGGAGGAGGAGGAGGAGGACGATGAGATGAAGGAGGAGGAGGAGGAGGAGGAGGAAAGGAGGATGAGGAGGAGGTGGTGGTGATTGAGGAAGAGTTGGAGGAGGGAGGCGGAGGAGGAGGAGGAGGAGGAGGACGATGAGATGAAGGAGGAGGAGGAGGAAAGGAGGATGAGGAGGAGGTGGTGGTGATTGAGGAAGAGGTGGAGGAGGCGGAGGAGGAGGAGGAAGAGGAGGAGGAGGAGGAGGAGGAGGAGGAGGAGGAGGAGGAGGAGGAGGAGGAGGAGTAGGAGGACAAACTAGGTGCGCTCGCGTCATATCTGACTTCCTACCCCTCCCTCCCATCCTTTACTATGGCGTAAATATAGTTTTTATTCGCACAGTCGGATGTCGAGCAGGGCAATAATCGCGAGAGGGTACGCGATGCATGGTAGAATGTGTAAGCACTTCCGATGTTTTTTTCCGGGGGCATTTTCTATATTTTGAGGCCCAATTGGGAGGACCGAAGACGCCCGCGCTGCAGCGGGAGCACGATTTGAAACAACCAGAGGCGCAGAAATCGGGCCAGCGCTTCAGCGGGAGCAACATTTTGAACAACGGACCCAAGTGAAAACCCATTTCCTGGGAATCCTGTGTGTGAGAAAACAGTACGCGAAGGGGGGCCGGATAGGAGGGAGGGAGGGAGGGAGGAAGGGAGGGAGGGAGGGAGGGAGGAGGAGGAGGAGGAGGAGGAGGAGGAGGAGGAGGAGGAGGAGGAGATTAGCCAGTGGTTGGGCTCTTCCTGTTTAGGCTTTCCCCTATCAGTTCCACGCTGTCCCACAGAATTCGGTGCCTGCGTGCGCTTTGGTGGTGTGAACTGTGCGGTGGCTCGGGGCATCGGCGTTTCAATATGTTTGGAAAAGTTTGCCAGCGTCCAACTGACGCTGGCAAGAGGGCGGTAGCCAAGCTATCCAAAGGGCTCCTCCCTCCCAACAGAAAGGCCTGGCCAGACGAGCCAGGACAAGGAGCCCCATGACCCCACGAGTCCCAAATTTCTTTCCAGGCCTCTGGTCGTCATGAACCAGACTCTGGCCTAGCGCAAGCTGTTCCCAGGAGGAGGAGAAGGCGGCGGAGGAGGAGGAGAAGGAAGAGGAGGACTTGCGTAGCATGTTCGGCGCTCGACCCTTCCTTACGCTCGCAGCCAGGGTGAGTCACGCGCCGCTCCCGACCGCACTGGAGGCGAGACTGTCCGCGGGCGGGATGGATGGCGCGGACATCGCGGCCACATACAGGGCCATGGGCCGGCTGAAGTTCTTCGATGGAGGGGCGGGGGTCAGCGCTGAGGGTGTCGGGCAGCCACGAGCCGTTTCAGATTCAGGAGCATTCCTTGCGACTCACCGTGCCTAGGCTTTCCTCCCTTCCCCTCGGCAGCCCAGGCCCCTTCGGTTTCTTGGGCGAGAGTTGAACAGGTGCCCTCGCGTGGGCACCATCGGGGCCCTGCAATTTGCAGGGGTGCGCGGAGCCAGATATTTTCGACCGTCCCTCAGCCTCCAGCGCTGCCTGCTCTTTCCTGTCTGTGTGGTCTGTCCCTCTCTCTCTCTGAAGTTCTTGTCGCACGCTTTCTCGACAGCTCTGCCCTGCCTGGCCCAACAGTTTGGTCCGGCCCTCTCCCCTTGCAATCGTTTTGTCTCTGGCCGTCCACTCTCCCCGTCCTGAGTGTTGCTTGGTTTTTTGTGCCAGTCCGCCGATGCGTGATCATCTTCCAGGTGACGGGCTGCTGCGTGGGCGTTCCGGGGCCTCTCCTGCTCGCCGCCCGTCTCTGCTGCACTCCCCTGCCCCGCCCGTCTGCCTGTCGCTGGCTTTCCAGCAGCCCCGAGACGGCCTGGTGCATCCCTCTTTTCGGAGGGAAAGAAGCACACAGACACAATTTATTAGTGTCTATTCATTTGTGTGTCCCAGTTCCCCTTCATTCTTTCCCCTCTCCACGCTCTGTCCACTCGTTCGCTTATTCGTTCAAGTGCTGCTGTTTCCCCTTCTGGGGCGTGGTTTCCATTTCCGGACCCTTTCAGCTCACGGTCGGACTGAGGCACAAGATTGAGGCCGGTTCGGGGAGGGTACCCTGAGGCCCTTCGTGCTTGTTGGATGCTCTTGTGCATCCTGGGCCTGGGGGAGGTTATCCTCGAACGTTCGTCGGTTTGGCCAGCGGAGGGTATCATGTTCTTGAAGGATGTTCTTCTTTCCTAGGTCCGGCTGTATTTGTTCCCTCCCACTTCTTAAGCCCGCTGCCGTCCGAACAACATCTGCAGTTCGCTCGCTCCCGGGGAGGGGTCCCCGGCCTGTGCGGGGCAGCCTTGCTGCGGGGTCCACGAGCCGGTGCGCTCGTTTTCTGTTGTTGTCGGGAGCCTCGAGACGGGGGTCAGTGCAGACGGGGGTCAGCCTGGGCACCGGATCCTGCAGGCTCTTGCGAAGACCCCCTCTGGCTGACCCGGGTGGCGAAGACCTGCGCTGCAGTTTTTTTTTGTTTTTTTTTTTTTCTCCCTGCATTGCAGTTTTTGGTTTCCTGCTGACCCAGGTCTGGGTTGACCCGGGTCAGAAGATCCCCGATGTTGGCGTGTCGCCCGACCTCTTTTCTGTGACCCTCGACACCTCACCCGCACCACCTCGACACCTCTCCCCCTTCCCTTCCCTTCCCTGGGGGGCTTGCAGCCCCCTCCACTTTTTCCCGCGCTCGTGGGAGCCCTGGGATGCGCCAGAGGCACGGGGAGTCCCGGGAGGGCGCCAGGGAGGCGCCAGAGTCGACGCAGGTGGACCCCCCCCACTCGAGCGACCCGCACGCCTCGACCATCGATCCTAGAGCGGCCCTCGATCCTCGATCCTCGATCTTCGACCCTCAACCAGCGATCCTCGACCCTCGATCCTGGGTCCTCGTTCCTCTGTCGGCCCTCCATTCTCGATCTTCGATCCCCAGATGCTGGGTCCTCGATGCGCATCAATGTGGAGCGCGAGTGTTTCCGAACCGGCGGCGCCGATGCATCGCCGATGCATCGTCGATGTGTCGCCGACGCATCGCTGATGCGGCGCGGTCCTCCGATCCGATCTACTCGGACCGCACTCGGACCTCCACTGGGACCGCCCAGGGGGAAGGTCCCAGTCGAAGCCTTCGGGGGAGGCGACCTTCTGGACAGCCTCAACCGCGCGCTCTGCGGGCTGCTACGCGGGGGCAAGGCGCACGGTCGCGCCCGCCCTCAAGAGGAGAAGGAGGGGGAGGAGGGGGGCGACGAGAACGAGGACGAGGAGAAAGGAAAGGAAATGGATGAGGAGGAGGAGGAGGAGGAGGAGGAGGAGGAGGAGGAGGAGGAGGAGGAGGAGGAGGAGGAAGAGGAGGTCGATGAAGAGGACGAGGAGAACAGCCGACTCGTCGTTGGATGAGATGTCTAGATATCAAGGCCCCCCCGCCCGCGTCTACACCTTCTCGACTCTATTCTCCTTGTTGTTTAGATTCCCAACGCTATCCTCATCACCACCACCCCGAGCACCCCCAAGGTCTGCAAGAGGATTCCAAGCGCTGTTGGCCTTGGTGCCTGCCAGGGCTGCGGATCTCAGCGCCGATGGCACTGATGTCGGCGGAGACGTGGGACTGGTGCGGGCATGACGGCCGTTCGGGGCTAACGGCGACCGTCGACGGGGAGGGGCTTCAATCGGCGGATTGCGTGCATGCCCACGTTCTCTTCCGCCAGCCAGGAAACGCCACCGTCGTGAGTTATGGCAAGGGGCGCGAGCTATCGCATGAATTCCACCAGGCGCTGCTGGTGGAGGACTGCACCTTGCACTCAGCATTGTGGATGAAGGGCGGCGTGAGTGCACACGCGGTGGCGGTGCTTCAGTTCCAGGGCCAGTGTGGGCGATCTGCGTCGGTCTGGCGTGCCTGGCTCTGCTGCCAGCGCTCCCGCTCGCGAGGGGTCCGACAAGGTGGCGTGCGACGCCGTGGAGTGCTTGACCGCACTGAACGCATACGACAGGAGCGTGTTTGCCCTCGATGTTTCTTGTAGCTGCCCTCTTGTCTTTTGCTGCTTCCATCATTCTGCCTCCTGTTTCGCTGCCACGCGTATCTGCGGCTCGGAAAGAAGCATCGTGTGAAAAGCGACAGAGGGGGCCTGGCCATGCTGACAGGTGCAATGTGCGGTGGCGAATGCCTCTCTTTGTCTCCATCTCTCTGTCTGTCTGCCCCACCCCCCCTCCCTGCCTCCAGGACATCTGCCCCGCTAACAGAAAACATCCATATCCACCTCTTCGGAGTCGAGCTCAGGGATCTCGAGGAGTGTGATGTATGTATGTATATACATATATATGGTATATGGTATATGCCGGCCCCTGTGGGCTGGAAGTTATGCATACCCACCACGCCTCAGGGACCCACGGCATGATTCCGTAGAACATTATGTATCCATCTTGGCGGTGCATCTGCACGCCTCGTAGTCGGCCTGGAGACAGGTGGATGCATACTTAGACAGAGACGCAATCATACAGATGGACGGACGGACGGACGATGGGCGAAATATTCTGAGAGATAAACACGCAGGTAGTAGCAGTGCATCATGCAACCTCCGCTGGCAGAGGGACACCATCGGGACACCACCAGGACACCACTGGAACACCATCGGAACCCCATCGGGACACCATCGGGACACCATGCGGGCGACATCGGGGTACCATGTGGACACCATCGGGACACTATCGGGGCACCCCCAGGCCACCGCCAGCCAGCCTTCGGGACACCGCCGAGCCACTGCAAGCCAACCGGGGTGGGGGAGCAACATTTGGCCCGGTTTCGCCCTAGCAGCGGCGAGTTCATTCCGCTCGTCCAACCACGCAGCTTCGCCTCGCCCGCCCGCACGCACGACACGAAGCCGAAACCGATTCCCCGGTGGGGGGTCTCCGCTTCACTTCGATCTCACCCCCCACGCAGTCGACGCAGTCCTCGCTGTGTCTAGGCCTCAATCTGAGGTAGTTATCGCCTCAGCCAGACGAGGCGGCATGTGTGGCTGTTTGCGATGCATGTGTTCGATATTTCCGACGCTCAAGCGGCAATCGTTGGACGGCCAATGTCTGGACGCTCAATGCTACGGCTCTTGAGAGGTTTGCTCAGGGAGCCGTAGACTCACCAAGAGGTGGGCTGCTGCCCGACCGCCAATTCTGAGAATGAGGACGAGGACGAGGACGAGGAGGAGGAGGAGGAGGGCAGTACGAGAGATCATCGAGGAGGCGGGTCAGGGAAGAGAGGAGGGAAGCTCTTGCCTCTCCGCCTGTCGCTCCTCTTCCTCCCCCCCCCCCCTCCTTCCTAACCGTTGCTGGCAACCGCGCCGCCCACTCCGTCTGCTGTCAGTTTCACTTCGGGGCTCCTTCACGCTCGCCGGTTGTGGCATGGCGGAGTCCCCCTCCCATCAGCTGGGACGCCGGCAGCTCTCATCCTCCAGGGTTCCTGCAGGGGGGCAGCTCCTGCCCCGGCGACGAGGCCCGGCGGCAGAGAGGGGCGGCCGCGGAGGGAGCGGGGGAGGGAGGGGTGGGGGGAGGGGCGGGGGGCATGGCCGCCCCTGCACGCGGGCTGCCCGAGTTGAGCATCGAGCTGGCGGCCCCGGGCCCTGCACCGAGAGCGCGCCTGCAGCGCCCCGCGCGGGTGGGTCTCGCGCCCGCCGGCCCGGACCGCGGGCCGCAGCAGCAACGGCCGCACGGCCCGCAGCGGCAGTGTGGTTGCTCTGCACGCCGTCCACGGGACGCTGTGTGCAGTCCTCCACCTGGGGCATCGCCCCGGCTAAGTTCGGTATCGTTTAACCGATCCCCATCGCCATCCCCATTCCCTTCGAGACCCCCACCAAATTGCCGCCCCAGTTTGGGATACACCCCTCGAAACCCGAAGGGAACGACCTATATCCCCATCTAGGGGGGTAAATCGGCCAGTGGGGCCCAGGCCACGCCGCTGGGGATGGGGATCGGTTAAATCATACTCATAAGTGAGGCGGCATATGCGGCTGTCTGCGATGCACGTGCTGAGTATTGTACTTGCCGCGCCTTCTCCGTTCCCGCGTCAAAGGCGATGCTGCTCCGAGTCCTGCGCGCTGCGCTTGAATGTGTTTCAGCTTGCACCTCGTCTTCTCGGCATCTCTTCTTCTGATTATTCTTCCTGGTGTGGCACGCCCCCATTGGAACCCCCAGGTTTATCCCTTGAAGGCCCCAGAGGCCCTTGGATGGGCCGATCATGACTTACCCTAACTGCTCTTTTTTTGGGACCATGCAAACACGTGGTAAAAACACATTTTTTTATAATGGCGTTGGAGGGCTCTTGCGGGTTGGGGGCCTCTCGATTCGCCGGGAACAGTGCAAGAGGCACTCTTGGCCCCTCCCCTGGGGCCGATCTGCGAGGGAACCTTCCAGCGGAGCCGCTGGACTCGCGGGAAGCGGTGTCACGAGACATTATTGGGCCCTCCCCTTGGGTCGATTCTGTGAATTTGTCCAGGGCGATGGTGCTGGGAATCTTTGGCGGAGCCCGCGGATTCGCCAGAAATTGTCCAGGAAGCGCTGTTGTTGGCCTCATTTCCTAGGCGCACAAAGCGCGCGGGTGGTTCTAGTATCTCTATATAAGTATATTCCCTACCTAGGCTCTGCCTAGAGTGTTCTTACTCTCTTTCTTAAAGGGGCCGGGCAGTGCACACCGCCCCGGGCGGTTCCCCCAGTATCCGCCCCGCGATTCCCCCAGTTTCGTCCCCTTAGCTTAGCGTTGCTTATCTCATCTTAGCTTAGCCTAACTTAACTTAGCTTAGCTTAGCTTAGCCCAGCCTAGCCTAGCTTAGCTTAGCTTAGCTTAGCATAACTTAGCTTAGCTAAACTTAGCTTAACTTAGCCTAGCCTAGCTTAGCTTAGCTTCGCTTAGCTTAGCTTCGCTTAGCTTAGCTCAGCTCAGCTTAGCTTAGCGCAGCGCAGCATTAGCATAGCATAGCATAGCATATCATATCATAGCACATCATATCCTATCATAGCGTAGCGCAGCATATCATATCGCAGCGTATCATATCACAGCATATCATAGCATAGCGCAGCATAACATAGCATAGCATAGCATAGCATTTCATATCATAACATAACATAACTTAGCTTAACACAGCGCATTATAACATATCATAGCATAGCATAGCATAGCATAGCGCAGCATAGCATAGCGCCACATACCATAGCGCAGCATATTATAGCATAGCATAGCATAGCATAGCACAGCGTAGCATAGCATAGCATAGCATAGCGCATCATAGCATATCATAGCATAGCCTAGCCCAGCATAGCATAGCGCATCATATCATAGGATAGCATAGCATATCATAGCACAGCATAGCATAGCATAGCATAGCGCAGCATAGCAGTGCATAGCGTAGCCTAGCATAACATAGCGCAGCCTAACATACCCTAGCATACCATAGCACAGCATAGCGCAGCATAGCGCAGCATAGCATAGCATAGCAAAGCAATGCAAAGCAGAAGCAACACCAATGCGAAAGTGTAGATGTAGATTTAGCTGTATGTGTAGGTGTAGATGTGGATGTAGGTGTATATGTAGATGTAGCTGTACATGTAGGTGTATATTTAGGTGTAGCTGTAGATGTAGATGTGAGTGTAGTTGTATATGTATATGTAGATGTATATGCATAAGTCCATGTAGATGTAGATGTAGGTGTAGATGTGGATGTATGTCTAGATGTACATGTAGGTATTAGGCTGTACTATTACTACTACTACTACTACTACTACTACGACTACTACTACTACTACTACTACTACTTTTATTATTACTACTACTACTACTACTTCCACTACTACTACTACTACTACTACTACTACTACTACTACTACTACTACTACTACTACGACTTCTCTACTACTACTACTGCTACTGCTACTGCTACTACTACTACTACTGCTACTGCTACTGCTACCACTACTACTACTACTACTACTACTACTACTATTACTATTACTACTACCACTACTACTACTTCTACTACTACTACTACTACTACTTTTACTACTACTTCTCTACTACTACTACTACTACTACTACCACTACTACTACTACTACTACTACTACTACTACTGCTACTGCTACTGCTACTACTACTACTATTATTATTACTACTACTACTTCTACTACTACTACTACTACTTCCCTACTACTACTACTACTACTACTACTACTACTACTACTACTACTACTACTGCTACTGCTACTGCTACTGCTACTGCTACTGCTACTGCTACTGCTACTGCTACTACTACTACTACTACTACTACTACTACTACTACTACTACTACTACTACTACTACTACTACTACTACTACCGCTACTGCTACAGCTGCGACGATGAGGAGAAGGAGGAGGACGGCGTTTACCGTTACTACTAATCTTGCTCTCCTCGGGGCTCCAGCTCCTAGGTAGGGTCGCTCTGGGATAATTCACACTTTCTCTCTCTCGCTCTCTCTTTCTCGCTCTCTCTATATCTCTCTCTCGCTCTCTCTCTCGCTCTCTCTCTCTCTCTCTCTCTCTAAAACCCCTGGCACGAGGACCAGGGGCCCAGGGCCGGGGGCTGAGGGCCCGGGGCCCGACGGCGCATGGGGGGCCCAGGGGCCCCAGGGGCCCTGCCGGGGCGCCAGGTGCTTTCTAAGATCGCCCGAAGACGGCCCCACATCGCCGGAAATGTCGCTTCCAGACCGCGAACACGACCAATGACGGCCCGATGCAACCCCAGAATTAGCCCCTTGGCTGTCCAAGAGGCCCCCAAGACGCCCCAAGAGGCCTCCAAGATGCCTCCCAAGAAGCCCCAGTTCTCGCCTTTTCAGTTTCCCGACGCTCCACGCCAGTCTCAGAGGCTCCAATGTCTGCCCCAAGACAGCCCAAGCGGCATCGAAGGCAGGCCCAAGACGGCCCAAGAGGGCCCCAATACGTCTCCAGAGGCGCCTAAGACAGAAGGCCCCATGACGGAATTTAGAGTTTTTAGCCTTGTGGCATTCCGACGCTCCAAGATGCCCCAAGAGGCCCCCAAGACCGGTCCAAGATAGCCGAAGAGGCCTCGAAGAGGGCCCCAAGACGGCCCACGACGGCCCCAAGATGTCACCTGAGGCGCGCAAGACGGCCCGATAGGGCCCCAAGACGGCCCCAAGAGAGGCCCAAGAATGGGTACGCGAACCCAACAGCAGAGCCTTCCGCCCCAAGAGGTCCGCAGGAG